TCAGCTCCCCAGATTGAAAGAAGTTTGATGGGCATGGTCCAGATAGGCCCCTTAAATCTCCAGTGCCTACTCCAGTGTGTCTGTAAGCTAGGCAGGCACTTAACCACTGGGAGTTATGGTTTTAAATGCTCCCTGGGCCAGTGCCGTGCACTGGAACTCACCTCACATGGCCTCCTGGGGTGTGTTTCTTGCATACAACATACGGTCAGACTTTTTTCTTGATTCTTACTGCCAGTCAGTGTCTTTTGAGTGTTGAATTGAGATCATGTGCATTGAGTTATTACAAATACATTTTAACTTATTTCTGTCAGTTCCTTATTTTTATTTGCTGATTCCCTACCTTTGCCTTCTCCTTAGCTGTTCACTATCTGATGCAGTTATTGTACTAGATCTTTTGTCATTGTTAGTTTCATTGTATGTTTGAAAGATGTTTAGTGGAATTTTTTATAATACTGATTTTGTGTTCATGAATTTCTCTATTTGCTAATCTTGAAAGTATCTTTTTCTTCAACAATTTTCAAAGACAGTTTTACAAGATATATTAGCCTGCAATGTCAATTGTCTTCTTACAAGCCTTGACACAGCTCATACCAAGCTTGCCCAGCCTTCAAGGTCTGTGTTGTGAAGCATGTTATAGTTTTGTATCTCTTTTTAACCTTTATGTCTGATTTGTTTCTTTTTGTGTAACCATTTCTGTGGTTCCATTCTTAGGTTGGACTTCAAGGATTTTGGTTGTCATATGTTGTGGAGGAGTCCTTTTCTGATTACGGCTATTTTGCATTCTGTATGTTAAATTCTTTATTCATATTTGGAAATTTTTCTGTTATTATTTCAGTAAACAAGTGTTTTTTTTAATGCTCTATGTCTTCTGATTTTTTCACTATTTCAGCTTACTTTCAGATTAGTCATCTAGAATCTGTAGATCCATTTGTATGTTCTCTTATTTTCAAGGTATTCATTAATTAGATGTTTTTACTAATTTGACATTGATGACTTTCTTGTCTTCTAGTATTCACCATCTGTCCTCATATTGTTCACTCTACTACTCATGCTTTTGATAGAATTTTTAAGGTCTTGCATTTCTATTAGGAGCTTTCTAATAGATTCTAACTCTTTTTTTAAAAAAATTCTGATTCTTTTATAAATTTGTTGGTCATGTTTTACAATATTTTATTTATCTCTACTAGCTTTTTATTAGTGTCTTCTTTAGACCTGCTGATTGTTTTGATTATTTGGCCCAATATCTTTTTAGTTATATCTTGTATGAACTTGCCTAATACTTGTTGTTCTGTTTTGTTATTATGCCTGATACAATTTTAAATAATCTGGATATGTGGCTTTTGGTTTCCTTCCATTTGGTGCCACTTGGGTCAGTTTTGTGGGAGCTGGGGATTTTGGGGGGCATTTGTTGACATGTGTTCTTGTGGTTCTGTGTGTGTGTGTGTGTGTGTGTGTGTGTGTGTGTGTATGCATGTGTGTGTGTTGATTGTTAGTGTATGCAGTGGAAAGTGTTTTTCTAGTATGGACACCTCTTGAATTAATGTATGCTTTCAGTGGTATCCCCTAGCTTTTGTCTCTGTTTTAGGGTACAATCTCTTCCATTTACTTGAGATGTGCTATCGAGTGTATTTGTCTCAGTACCTAGTTTTCCACATATTTATATACCAACAAATCAATTATTACTAACAGTTTTATCATTGTGCATATAGTAATAAAATATACATAAGTTACAGTGTCAAATGCAAACAATATTGACAAAGCCTTAAGACAAATAATGTCCATAGATAAGATTTATATAATTATAGAATGAACACTAAGGCAGACCAAACATTTCCCTACTATTCATTTTCAGTAAATATCTACTAAATGGAAATAACTTTACCTCTACTAGCAATCAAACCATATTCAGCATCAACAGTGTAAATTTAACTAGCGTCTTTTGTTTTCATTGCATTTACTCTGCCTTTCTGCAGGCAGTAGTTCTTGACCATGTGCAAAAATTCTACCAATATTTAATAATAAATATTTATATATTACTGGAAACATAATGAATAGAATAGAGGCATATATTGGTTTGTTACTGTTGCTTATGTAGCAGGGATGGAAAGTAGTGGAGTGAAAGTAGCTTGAATAAAAAGTTATGATAGACAGTGGTAGGGAAAAACAAGCAGTTATCTTAAGAAAAACATGTAAATGTTCAACACATGAACAACTGTATGTATGTGTAGATCAGTGTGTATAAAAGAAAACATCGATAATGTTTAATAAAATAATAGTGACCATTATGCTGAATGGCAGGATTTTAGATAATTTTAAAATATTTTTACACTTTGAGAATTGTTACATTGGACATTTACTATATACATACTGAAAAAAAATAAGTCATTTTTACAATTGTGTATGAAAATAAATATTGCATTGAATGTCTTTAGTGAATGAAAATACATGTTAGCAAATCACTTGGAGTTAAAAAGAAAGCAAAATACTGAGTTCATAAAACCAGGTTAGATATCCAAGATATAGTTCAGATAATGTTTTTCTGGCTCAAAGGAAAATAAGTTCTGAATACAAAGTTTTACATATCAATATATAGTATATAGGTTGACATCTTTGGAAGATTAATTTTAACACTCAAGTAATGTCCTTCATTATTATTATTTCTCTCTACATCTATTTATCTATATCTGCTTGATTATTTGTTGAATTGTGAGTTCATATTGCATCTTGGGACCATACTTATATTGATTAAGGATACCCATTAATAAGTCAGTAAGTTCTTTGTAGATAACAATACACATATATTAACCAGTGTTAATCTCCTATTATTTTGTTTTGAAATAGTTTTGAGTCTTTTTGGGGGGTTTTAAAGCTTAAAAAATAAGTCAGTAGGTGAGGCTAATTATAAATCTTGATAGATAGTAAATGTTCTATGGATGTATTTTGTTAGAATTTCTATTCCATGTAATATGATATGGTTGTAAATAGATACTGGCCTGTAAATGGCTAATTTCATCTTTCTGAGCTCTTCATGGTGTTTTCATCCTTTAATACACCTAGCTTTATCTGTATTAGTCTTCTACTTGCTCCTGTGTATTCGCACCATTTCCCTGTTTGTAGAGCATGAATTTATGAGTGAAGAAAGTCTGTCTTACTCATTTGTGAGTAATCATTTACCCACTGACTCAGTATTTAGACTTATTGTGTCTAATTTTTAAAAATGACTCAGTGAACATGTAGAAAAAAGAGCCACTTCCAATTTTTCATACTTTATTTACATTCACAGATCCTTAGAGGAGGAACACATTTTCCTCTTTGTCCCAAAATAAAGAATTTAAGTCAGACAACACAAAGAAGTTGCCAATTTTCTTCTTTTTTATTTCACACCAATTATCATGTCCCTTTCTTTTTTCTTAAAAAGTAATGAAGAAATGTTTCTCTGTTTCTAATTTTATTGGAAGAATGTTTTAAAATTTACTTTTTAAATGTTGACCTCAAATATTTTAATTCAACACCTAAACAGAGTGAAATATAATAAAAAATACACAGGATAATCACTCCTCTCCACATCCTCACACCCAATTCCCTTTCCCCAAATCAGTCATGGTTACTAGTTTCTTCTTCTAAAAATACATTATCTCTTTGTGAACCCACATATTTAGATAAATATATAATTTTTTAATGAAAGAACCCAAGATAGAGCTTTCCTCCTTACTGTTTATCCTTAATAATTAACAGATGCACAGCTCTTCATTTTAAACAAATCTACAATTTTCTGTATTATTGATATAAAAAAATTTATTGGATTAGTTTTTCGTGGGAATTTACAAGTTTCTACTTGTTTGCTCTTAGAAAGAGAGTCAGTACTATAGAACATATGTCATTTTTTATTATTTGCATATACTACAAGATAAATATTGAAAAATGAAATTGCTGGATCAAAGGGAAAACCATCTAAATTTTGGTTGTTGTTGGTAAAATATCTTTGAGGCTATACCAATTTATGTTCTATTAGTAAAGGTTACTATTTCACTCAACATCACTCTTGGTTTTTCAATTTTGGGAGGGAAAGAGGTATATTTATTATAGTTTTATTTGTATTTTTTGTTCTAAAAAACAAAATAAATTGTCTTTTTTAGATGTTTAAAGCTTTTTAATATTTATTTATCATATATTTGGCACTTTTTCAATTTTAGTTATGATACTTTATCTGAAAATTTACATATTTTATCTGAAATATTTACATATTTTAAAGATATTAATATTTTGTCCATTAATTGATACTACTATCACAAATATCCTGGAGGAAAGAAACATAAGCTCAGCTAAAAGAGTAAAGGTAACTTGTGGTTGTTGAAAGTAGAAAATATTACGTTTTTGTCTTATGGTCTGGTCCTGTGTAACTTCTAAGGACAAATATGATAAAAACATGAAAGATTTTATTATTCCTACTGAACGCAGGTGATATTTTCTACTCTTTGTCTTCTTATAAATAATCTTGAGATTATATATGCAATAGTTTGCAATATAAAGAGAGTAGTATTTGTGTTTTCACAGTCACTTAATGTATTGTATAACATGAACATTGAACTCTGGTCTAATATTTATTTAATAATAAAAGTGTTGATGCTGGGGGTTTAGCTCAGCGGTACAAGCACCTACCAGGCAAGTACCAAGTCATGAGTTTGATCTCCGTTACCAAATAATAATAATAATAGTAATAAAGTGTTTCCTTTTTCTTCTACCTTGTGGAGAAATTTTGTTGGCAAGAAATTTGGATTTAATTATACTTTCTTTGTAAATTTAGCTCAATTTCTTGAATTGATAGCTCTATCATGTTAAAATTGGGAAGATGGAGTGCTTCTTTGAAATTGGTTATAGCTCTACACATTCTGGGAAATAATTTTTAAAATGGCCAATTTTATGAGTGATATCAGTTACCTTTCTTTTTTAGCAACAATCTAAAATGGATTCCATCTCTTAAAAATTTTAAAATAAGACTCTTATTTTAATTTTCCCAGTAATTTTTCCATTGCACGTTTCATATCTTTGTTTCTTAGACTATATATAACAGGATTAATGAGTGGAGTAACCACTGAATAAAACAGAGTCACAATCTTCTGCATTCCAGCTTCATGCTCAGATGTTGGGCTGACATACATAACCATCACTGAGCCGTAGAAGAGAGAAACCACAACCAGATGGGACCCACAGGTAGAGAAGGCCTTTCTTCGCCCTGCTGGTGAAGGAACTCTTAGCACAGCTCTGAGAACCAGAGCATAGGAACCCATGATAAAGACAAAGGGAATAAATAATAGTAGAGAACTTAAAGTGGAGCTAGTCAGTTCTATTACACGGTCTCTGGTACAGCTGAGTGCTAATAGAGGACCTGGGTCACACAGAAAGTGGTCAATAATCCTGGGCCCACAGAAGGACATCTGGGATATGATTATAATGGGGACTAGGAACCACAGGAAACCAAGCATCCAGCAGCTGAATATAAGAATGTTGCAGAGATGTGCAGTCATTAGAGTAGGATAGTACAGGGGCCTGCAGACGGCAAGGTAACGATCAAATGCCATAACTGCTAGGAAGAAGCACTCTGTGGAGCCCAAGGAAAAGAAGAGATAGAACTGGAGAAAGCACCCAGAGAAGGAGATGACCTTGGTGTCAGAAAGGAAGTTGGCCAACATGTTGGGGACAGTGGAGGTGATATACCAGATCTCCAGGAAGGAGAAGTTGGCCAGCAGGATGTACATAGGTGTGTGTAGTCTCTGATCCCAGCGCACAGCACAGATGATGGAAGCATTGCCCATGAGGGTGAGGAGGTAGACAGCAGAGAAGAGCACAAAGAGGAGGATCTGACCCTCCCTGGGGCAGGGGAAGCCCAGGAGGATGAAGCCGGCCATGGTGCTGGAGTTGCTGGGGGTGTGGAAAGTTTTCATATACCTATGAGCTAAAAAAGAGAAAAAGAAATAAAATGGATCAAGATATGATAGATTTATGTTACAGGAATGTTATGTATTGTAATCATTCTAATAATCAAAGGGCACCAGCAATCAACAAATGACAATTCAAAGACAAATTCAAATGCTGAAATGTCCTTAAGCTAATTTGGTGGGATGCATTATACATTTATACATTAAAGTAGTGACCCATTAATGTATAAATGTATAATGTAGAAGTGATAAAAAAAAAACTGCCCTCAAACCTGATTCAGTAAAAAGCAAAAGATGCATGCAATGTTAAGAGAAACCAGCGGTATAGTCCAAACCTGATTTAGGATAACATTTTAATTCAGGTTTTAATTTACAGACATTCTGGGAAGCTCATTATTCATCAATGAAACCGATAATCAGCCCAATGATTTAAACTATTTCTTTACTGCATCTTGATTTTGTAATATGTCTCTACCAAGAGAGGAATCTTTAAATTGGCCCATTCAGGAACATTTTCATGTGTTTCCATCAGTTTGTCTGAGAAATTAGTTTATTAGACATGCTTGAAGATGAGTTTAATATTTTTCAGTGAAAATTTGAAAACCTCCAAAAATTATTTATAAAATGAATTAATAAATGCATGAGGGAGAGAGAGGCACACAGAGAAATAGAGAAAGACAGGGAGAGAGAGGGCTCAAATGACACAGGAACTTGGGGATGAAGCTGACCTAGACAGTGTGGAAAAGGGAACACTTAGGACAAACATTTGGCGTCACTGTCTACTTCTGAATTATGGTTTTATGTTTGTATGAATTTGAAAAGCTCCAACAACCTTTGTTAAATAGTCCTGCATTCAAATCTTGGACTTTATTATTGTAACCTTATGTAAATAGAACATGCATAAGAACATGAAAATACTTATTTTTGTTGTCTGGAGTATAGCTTTATTCAATCACAAATTATTTTTTAAAGTTATCATAGTTACTTGAGGACAATAATCTACTTGAAAGATTAAACAGTAAGAATTTTCTGGATAACTGGCAGATGATGTAAGGGGAGAACCAGTATCATGTATTTTTTGGAAGCGGACTAGCAAACCAATGAATAATTAGAAAGTTATAAAATGTGTGCAAAGGCTTTTCTCTCTGACCTTAATGTATTTCTAGATTTTGTTTGACTTCTGTGATAGAGAGCCTCAGATGGCTATAAAATTTCTGAAGATTCTGGTAATCCCTGTCTTAATTTATGTAGTCTCAGCTCCTTCATTGCTTCACCTGCAAGAGGGACGTATTCTAGTCCTTGTACTATTAATTTACATTTTCTAAATGACTTTTCCATTTAGATTTTAAGGATGTGATTAGAGATTCAGAGTAAGTTTCAGATACCATATATTCATGTTTTTTGAAGATGAATTTAAACTAGGTGAACACATATCTAATATATTTTGCCTTAAGTTATTTTCTTTAAGAATGAAGTTGTTAACGTTATAGTCAGTTCTGAAGCAACTATTTAATCAAAACTTTTTTTCTTTGACCGAGATATTTATTTATTTATCTAGTCTTTTTTGAGACAGGGTTTCATATGCAGTTCTGGCTGACCTTGAGTTCACTTCGTAACCCAGGCTGGCCTCAAACTTACAATGATCCTCCTGCGTCAGCCTCCCGAGTGCTGGGATTACAGACATGTGCCGCTATACCTGGTTTGCATGAGGTTTTTAATGATTGTTGGAGCCATAAGAGTGGGTACCTGCTAAAAGAATGGAAGGAATGGCTGAGGGAAATTTACTATGACATGTGCATATGACATGGATTTTAAAAGTCCTTTTTAGGTCTCAAGTGTATTAACAACTTAGATAAAAATCAGTTATTGTAAATCAAAAGAATGTGATACTAAATATAATTGGGTATTTTGAATTAAGATGTTGGGCAAGGTGTTTCTAAAAGGTGGTATTCTGAGATAATCATTTTGTTCATCATTCATATTATATTTAGCAGTGAATGATTTTGCAACTGTTCAAGAATTCATCCTATCTATTTTAGTGTAGCATTATTTCCTTTTCTTTTCTCGCAGATCCAACTCACCAGTAAGACTGATTGCTTCTGCTATTATAGTATGATTCACATTCCTCTTTTTTTCTACAGTCATACCCTACACTCAAGTTACCACAGTTCCCCACTAATTTGTCTGCAGTGGTATCCTAACACAGCTCCTGTTTTTACCCTTTTAAATTTCATTTTCCATTAAGCAACAGCAGCTTACTTTAAAAATAACTGAAAAGTAAATCATGATTTATCTTTGAGTGAAACCATTTTCTCTCAGAACAATTCCGCAGCTGAACTCGTCCAAATCCGTTTAAATAATATTACAGATGTGACACCAATTCTGAGTGGGTCAGCATTATTTTATGTTAAACTTAACATATTTAAGCTGACCTCGCACTTACCTTTTGTTACTTATTCCTCTGTGCAGAAGAAACTATGTTGTGTATTCACCAAAGCCTCAGTTGGAGCTGTCAAAAAAATTGAAACAAACTTAAGTGAAAAATTCTAAGATTGTAGATGTAGCCCTGAATTCCATCCCAAGTAATGAAATTCAAGAACAAACAAGTGAAAACAAAATAAAAAGTCTAGTTAGTGCACCCTGCATGGGCTGCGGTGAACCCTGGTGAAGTGTTCTGTGGCTTTGGCCCCAGGTTCCTTGCACAGTTAACTAACAACCACAGCTGTCTTTTGGAGGATTTATTTACTTGCTAATAAACTCCAGAAAAACCAAAACAGACTGTGACTGAGTAAGGCAGACTGTGTCAAAAATAGATTGAAAAGAAAATGTTTCCTCAAATTTTAATTTCCTCACAATTTGATGTAGTAAAAAACTCTGTAGTTCCCAAGTTTGTTGGCCCACTCTCCATGCTCAGTCCGGAGACGTCTCAAGTTTGTAGTCTTCTCCTCTAACCTCGTTGCACATTTTTTTTGGTGAAAGGACTAATCTGCAGACCTGGGTAATCTGTCTCCAGAAAATACTTTAAAAATAAGGATAATTGTTTAATTTGGGACAAATAGTAGATAGCTCTGTCTAACAGAAACATTCCCAAATTTAGAGTCAGGAGTTTTGCCAGTCATAACAAATTAATACTATCCTACTTATAAAATGTACATAAGTGTGTATTTTTAAAGAGCTCTGGGAGAATCTTGATCAGTGTCTGACCAGTAAGAGGCTAGCAAATATTGATTTCTGTTTGTGGCTGTAAAATTCAAAGAGAACTGTGGGCTATTACATTCTGCAATTACATTTTTTATTCTTATGAATACTATATTGTCTTATTACCTGCATCAGAAAACAGAATCCCAATCTGAAGCTTTCAGGAGTTTCCTTGTTACAGTGGTAATCTTTGTGGCAGAACCAGAGGGAAGAAAAAGTGGTAACTGTGATGAGGATCCTTGAATTATAAACTGAGAATGGAAGGCAGCAAGTTAATCTGTTTCTACTGATCCTTGAGAATATATTTATTGCTTCTAAAAGGAGCACACTGTCAAGAGACAGTCTGGGCTTGTTATCATTTTCCCTGGGGCATGCCTTAATTCTTGGTTTTTTTTTTTAAAGTTTATTTAAAGAGAAAAACAAAACTAAACGAAGCAAAACAGTAAAAGGCTAGAAGTAGTAGGGAATTTCAAGAGAAAAAATATACAGTAAGAATTCACCAGTTAATAGGTCATTTCAGAAACAGTTGTCCAGATTACAAAATTAAAGCATACGAAGTGGACACTAATACAGTGAGATTGCAGACAGTTCTGTTCAATGATCCAACAAAAACTCAGCAATATGGTTCTCTATCCTACACATTTAAATCTACTTGCAGTTATATCCTTTAGATCACTTTCCTTCCTCTCTTTTTTACGCTAACAATCACACTTTTTGGTTCCATTACTCCCACAGTTCTTATAACTTTTTCTTTGAAGAGGAAAAGAAAAAAGATTTAAAAAAACCCAAAAAACAAAACAAGACAGACCAAAGAAAAACCCAATGTGACAAAGCAAAACAAAGTCAGAACAGGAGAATGGACATAGTATATAATGCAAAAAAAAGATTACTAGGTGATCAACAATGGTTACCATTATGCCTCTTGTTATCCTAAAAAGAGTTGCCTATATCAGCTGATATAAAAGAATTGAAAAAAACAGTACAGAAGATCAATAAATTCTTGGGCTTTTTTCCTGTGCAAATTGATACATTTTGTGTGCCTCAAACTTGTCAGAGGCATACTGAAATATTAATAAATAACTGACTAATTGCTTGATTAATTAGTCAAACAGTAATACCATCTCTAAGTATGGCCAATGAATGATTCTGTAAGCCCAAGGGAAGTAAAGCAGCCCTAGATGTCCCCAACACATCTGACAGTTGAAGGGGATCTCAGTTAATCAAATTGAACTGACACAGCTGAATTCTACTATTCTCTTGTTGATCTGATCTTGCAAAATACAACCTCATTCACACTCAGAGACCATCATAAAATGAGATTTTTTTAAAAAAGAACTTATTATAATATTCCCTAAATACAGGCAATAACAACATTGCAGTGCCACCCATAAAATACCAGTTCCCTACCCTGACTAAAACAAGTAACTGATGCTTTATGGGGTGCCAATTACCATTTTACTTTTCTTCATGTCTGTTCTCTCTGCAAGTGAGATTTTTAAGATAACTACTTACTGAATTACCATTATTTTTAGATAACATCCGATTGTACCAAACTGCCATTTCTTTAGACTCTTCCCCAAGTAACCTAATCGAAGGAAAAATCCTTTAATTGGTTCCTTTAAATACCATTTTACACAGAAATTTCAGGGGTTCCCCATAACATATGTTATCACTTGATATAAAAAGAAATGAATATAACATTCATTTCCAGCTATTCCTGTGGTTTTAGACTAAAAGCATTAACAAATCTGAAGTCAAATAAGGTAGCTTTGGGGACAAAAGCTTTCCCATGAGATTTATTCAGAGATCTC